ATTTTACAGCACCCTAGGGCTTGCCAGAAACTTTCTACCAGAATACTACTTGACCCATCTCACCCACTGTACCCGCACCTTAGTCAATGTATCCGCACATCTAGCACTCGTTCCATGTGTAAACATATAGCAGCACGCACCACTACATACAAGTCTTCTATAATACCGTACCTGGCACGGTTTCTTACCAACGCTGATCTTGTCATTGAGACTCTTAGACCAATTCTTTGCTAAATTGGCTTTTTGTATATGTAACGTATCATCATACGTTTTGTTACCATGTAATTTCCAAAGAAAAGAGTGATTGTGTAGTAGCTGAATGTTCATCCCCTATAGGGAGAATTAAAGCCGCTTCTTGAAAAAAAATTGTGCATGTGAGTGTACGTACAAATGCTTTTTTGGAAACGGTGGTTGGTTTTGGAAACGAGAAGACAGCGAGGTGGAGGGCAGCCAGATGTGTTGATTTCTCCTGTCTCCTGTTGCAATGCTCATCGGTCTAAGTGAAAGAATTAGACACATCTAAGTCTCCGGTTAGAATAAATACACGATAAACAAGCATTGTGATATTTTTGGGTGCTGGATGAAAGAATAAATGAGTAAATATCTTGTTTTTAATTGACCTAACAGCATTCTGATGAAGTCAAATTTCGCAATCAACTCACAATTACTTCTGGGTAGTGATGTGCGGTAATTGATATTGATTCAAACTGACGATCCTTCAGACTTCATTTCTACGCATAATCCTCACTTCTCCCAGTCAACCATATACATTCGGAAGTAATAGACTCGAGTTTGGCTCTTAATAGAGCTCATTAGTAGTGCATATTCACCACCCCACAATACGGGCTTCTAACTCCGAATCAATGGCATGGAAGACGTGTATCTTACCACCTTGTATACCGGCTCACGCCAGGACGATGAATATGCACTACTAATGACCTTTAATAAGGGTGAAGCTCGAGTCTAGTGCCTCCGAGTGTATGGTTGACCGGAAGCTCTACGGAATGGGCGGGAAGGTAAATTCCGAAGGATGGTTAGTTCCAATCAATCAATCAACCACTTACTCACTCACTCACTCATTCAATCAGTCAATCCATCAGTGAGTCAATTATTATACATCACCACCCACACGTAACTGAGATTGTAATGCGAATAGTGAGATCTAATTGCCGCATAAGGTGTGATTTTGTTAAGGTGCAGTGGAACAGCTACATTGCAGAAAGCTGACTCGAAATGTTCAAGTCAATCCATTTCTCATTACATTCTCCAATGCAATACAATCTAATATGGAGTGCTTTATGAAGTGGTTCAGGAATGAGGTCGCGCGATAACACGTGCTGCACCATTGATTGAATCTGTGACAAAACCATGGGATCAATTGTGTCCCCGTCTCATTTAGATTATACACAGGAGAAAACGACATATATCGCATGTAGAAAACAGTCTAGAAAAACTGCTTCTTGTGCATTCAGAGATGATCCCGTGAACAAACGAGAATGGGTATATGGAGAAGTTTCGTATCTGGATCGATCGAGCATGTATGTATGGGACAAACAATCACGCCGACAGAACGATACAATTCTTGCATATTCTTTAATAACACGATACTTTTAGTCATAGAAGGTATGTTAAAGTGGAACGGGCTAGTGAAAGATGGATTTCACATTGAAGGAACTACCGTAAGTAAATGAGTCACAGTAGTTGAACACTATTCGGTTTGGTTATCCTAAAGAGACCCGATTTCAATTTGTCAACAACTCAAATATCAATACTTGTTTTCACAGATTTTAGTGTAGAATTCAAAGTTTAAAATCTAGAGTCTAAGAGGGATATTGACAGTGAATGTTGAAGAATGTATGTTTGCGTGCGTGTGTGTGTGTGTGTGCATATCATTTTGTCTGTTCTCTGCTTCCTGGGGCTGCAATTATGTGCTATCGGCCACGTGACTCGGGGAAGGCAGTTTAGAATTATCGGGAGTATGCGGAGTGAAGATTTATGTTCCTAAAATCAGGAAGATGTGTGCAACACATGTGAAAAAAGAAGACTGTGGTCAAATATCAAACAGAAATAACGTCAGTGATGTCTGTTGTACGCCTTCTGACGCACTCAGAATGACTCAGGTGAATGTGCTCCGTGCTGCTCAATGTCCCACTTGAGTTTACACGGGGACCTGTATCTATCTAGCTTGAGTGGCACGCTTGAGACCAACTCGGGATTATTCTGTTCTGACTTGGGCGAGCGTGAACAGTTCTGTTGCGGATAAATAGTCAAGTCAAATCATGTATAGTAGCTGACTTGCTGCACCCACAACTGCACGATGAATTATAAATATCAATGTGGTAATACTTGTTACAGAGGGTGACTGTAACTGTGTGGAATACCTAATCAAACTGAACCAGTTGCAGAATAGATCTTCCACCAGCACCAGCACCACCCCTTCATCGCGGTACAAAAACTGTACTCCAAGAGATTCGATAAAATCGTTGCTATTGGGTTAGAGTAATCATTACTGCGTGTGAAACTGAAAAATTTCGAATCGAGTAAGTACACTTGTCACATTCACTGAATCTCTCGTTTTATGCAGTCCGGATATAAATTCGATAAACTAATCGATGATTGAGTAAGTATTTGCACATGCATAATGTCGCTTGATCCTACGATCTCATGATTCATTGATCCGAACGAGTTTCGATATGTCACTCGAAACCGAATTGGCTGATAAGTTTCTATTAAGCCAGATTGATTGCCCCTTATCCAACATGGACGCATGCCTTATACATAAAAGGTATGATAAAATCCATCCACGTTCAGTTTACCTTCTTCGCATTGTCCGTATTTTCTCACCTAAATATCATGGCAATAAATTGACTACGCTTGACCACACAAAACAGAACCACACGTGCGTGCCAAACGGTGGACCGATTTCCGGGCATTCACAAGAAACCCGTCGGGCACGGATCTATTATCTATCTGCTTCAGGTAAGCAGACTGAGCTAGACTATCCGGTCTGATTAGGTAAACAGTGCAGTCAGGCTTACGCGCGTTGTATGCAACCGGTTGTTTTGGCAATTCGTTTATGGTGTTCACAGCTCGCAGAATGCGATTCATCCAGTGGGCAGGGTACTCGACTGCCCCTGTCTATCAAAACCAAATAGCTGGACAACATCATACACTTGCTTTGATAATGAACTGCAAAAAAATATGCTCGTTACGGTGTGAGAAACTTGATTGGAAGAATGTGCGCATCGTGCTCTCGAAAAGGCATTGTTCATCTAATATGTGATCAAAGATGAAACCTCACGCGGAAAAGCTCATGAGGGTGTATGTAACTCACATCGTCTCAATAAGCAAATCTTCGTTTTCCGCATTGAACAAAGCGCGACAAATCAATTCCTGAGTGATTGGAATCGCGGAATCATTTGATGTGGATAGATCACAGAGGTATTTCAAAAATCTATAAGGCACAAAAGAACAGAGGTTGTCACACTGGCGAAGAGTTAGCGCTAAACTTAGATGCATGCATCCTACAAAAAAACGGAATAAAATGTGCAAATACCATGTTTAAATATTTCTACAAAAGAGTCGTCTTCTGTCAGTAAAAATGCTCAAACTGCGGATATTAAAAACAGTGGATCGATATTATCATTTGCCCCAACGTGAATGATCATATCCAAGTAAAAGTCTCAGAATTGGTTTCACATAGTAGTCCTGAAAACGGTGATTAAGCGATAATGGTCAAGCGGTTAAGCAAAGCTAGTCGACCAATGAGAAAAAGATGGTCACCGTGATAACGGAACACCCAATCAAATCACAGCAAATGGTTACTATTGGCCAATAGAATTAAAGGGACGCAAACAGCCAATCGAAACTCTCAAACAGAACTATATAAGCCCTATCCCACCGAGGACTGGAGCTTCCCCGAAGTCGCACTGATTATGTTACCTAACTTGGCTACGAAACATCTGCGAACAACACGTCCAGCTCAGAGAACTCACCAATACCAAAGGCATAGCTATTTACAAAGTATCACCTCATTCCCTAACAGACTGCTTTGTGAATGGGACATTCACATTGACAGGTGAAGAATTGACTGATCAAACTTCAGAGCACATCTTTACAGACTGTCATAAGATTATTGAATCCACCATGCACTGAAAAAGCACTGGATTCAAGTTTCACTCTCGTTGAACCTTATCGCTGGTGCATCTTGACCGTCTCGTCCGGGCTTTGAACTCCGAGCCCATCGTATGGAAGATACACTTGTGTTATCACTGGTCCAACCAGCACTACTCAGAAGAGGATCAAATAACTATTTTCTTCGGACTGAATCCAAAAGCAGAATTACCATAGCCATGGATCATGAAGAAACCACCTCAAATTTAGAGTAGACTTTAACCTGAATACGTCCAATTCGGATGAATAAAAAGTCCAGCTTAGTTAAATTAGGCTGAACATTATTTGAAGAAAACTGTTTCAATAAGTTGCTTAATATGAGATAAACAACGCACACCATCCTACTCGGAACCTCAACTGGTCCACAAGCACACATGTAGAAAGGAAAATTTTGAGGTCTATCATCACCATCACTACTACTAACAACAAAAACAACAACAACAAAAAAAGCTGAGAAGGACATTCTGTTCATGTTCAATCGTAAGACTCATCGACCTATGCGAGTCATATTTAGGCTAAGCATTACAGCATCGTGTTTTTTTTGTACCAACCGAGCGAAGATATGCATCTATGATTTGTTCAAAATGTTGCTGTCAAAAGATATGTTCAGCATTCAAGATCCGAGACTTGGAATCGCACTCGGGCCCAGATAAGAAAATTGAGATTGCTAGTCTAATGGCACCCATGTAGTCCAACACCAAAAGAGGACAAAAAAGTTAGCTATTGCTCGGGCACTTGACTACTATCTAGTAGCTGGGATAAGCCTTATACATAAGTTGATTCTGATTCTATCCATTTGCCCGTGCGTTCAACATTTTTGCCTTCGGACTGTGTAACTCGCAAGGAAACATTTTGGCTCCCTAACAGAAAAGTGCTCGGTTTGGGTTTCTGTAGGGACACAATACCAACAACCATGTGCACCAAAGAACGATATGGCGGGTGTTCGGTGTTTTCTCATTGTCATCACGCAATCCTCTTGCTTCTTAATACATTCACATACAGGGAATTTGCGTAATGTACTGAGAGAAGATCGCAGGTACATCGTACAACAATGCGCAAACCCTGGTGTTTATGAACTCGCAAGGGCTATAGCGAACAGTCAAGGTGTAGAGTATGCTTACTGTATACTGGTGAGATCCCGGGATTCAGTTGGGTCGGTAGATGTGCACCGCTGATAAGAGCCAATCAGGTCGAAACAGCTGTTCAGCGCTTCCCACCGTTTTCAGTTCACTGTTCGTTGGTTCTATGCACACAGGAATTCACTGTGGAATCAACACTGCGGATTCAACAAAAATGTCCTTTTTGGGTACCGTTCCCTACTAAATTGTTCCTAATGAGATTCATGTCATCATCCAACACTTCCTCAGAGAAGATTATCCTCGCTCTGGTAGCCTAACACTTCACCAAGTTAAGGGATGATAACTAAAGTATTGAAGTTTTCATACTGGTTATCACATATCAGTTTTTGCTAGATCCTTTCGTTCGATCCAATTCTCCTTCCCTTCTGCTAAGAGACACATCCGGAAACGGTAGTTGATAGTTCGATAGTGAAATCTGCTACTTTGTGCATCTTGTTTAATTCCAATAGCATGAACTACAAACACAACTAGCATCAATCACACAGAATATCTCGTTCACATGTTGGTAATGATGTTTGAGCCACTTGAGCTTATTTCTTTTTAGTTTTGCGAAGAAGATTTCAGCCAGTAATGGACCCTGGGATACTCCCAAAGTCACACTGCCCGGTTGTCTGCAAAATGTTCCGTGAAATAGGTTCTGAGAATTGAGTGTACAACGAAGCAGGACCTCGTGCAAACCGTGTGATTTTAAACTAATTTTACGTTTATTATCTTCAGTTCAATGCACTAAGAGATCAGTAGTTTCGACTAGCGACATGTTTTAAGGTCAAGGTGTGAAGTCAAATGAAATAATGGCCCAGGGTCGATCAGGACCGAATGCCTCCGCCTGCGTACAGTCACCCTGAGGCCGTGGGATGGTTAAACCAATCGAAGGATGAAGGCAAGTGGACTGTGATAAACCGTTGCCCATGATTTGTGTTCTGTTCAACTATGGGATCTGCTTTTTGGTGTTATCCGGGGGATCTGTAAGTGGCTGGAGCGTAAATTGATGCAAAACAAATATTTCACCAGATGTATGCTTGTTCTAAGTGAATATCTTTCAGAGATTCAAATTAACTTATTAGTTCACAAAATGGTCTCTCTTTTGCGACTATTTGACCGTTGTCGCCTTACGCATCAGTAGATCTTCGTGATTGTTGCAACCGACATTGATAGGCTACTTTCTAAACATTTATTCTCCAACTACTCAAATGCAGAAAGTAGCATGGTCGGTACTTCAATTTGACATTTCGAGTCGTGGTACGTCCGGGCTGAGATGTGCATCTACAGAGATCTGTGCATTATGTTTAGTCGACGCAAAATCAGCTTTTGAAATCAAATGAAGTCAGACTGGATTGCTGCTTTCGTGGCTGTGTTTTGATTATTTAAATTTGCGAACCTCTAATGGAAATCACCGAGGATTTCCAGGTGTGCAAGTGAACATCAGGGACACCGATTCGAGGAAGCATTTGAGAGCTTTCAACACACCGGATCCAATGTGGAATTTGATCACGAAGATACTTGTTCAGGGTTTCTTTTCTGAAACGCATCAAACACGCGTCAAAGGACTCCAGTTTCACAAGTCCGCGTTTTTTCAAAGACAAATAAAAGCGGTGAATGGTAAACAAATAAAGGAAGTAGGTAGTTTATGAATGTATCCAAGGGAACGAGTTGTGCACGTTGGAATTCACACCAACGATACTTCAGAATGAAAATGCACGATCGTTCTTCACTGGAAATTGTATTATGGTTTGTCAGTTACTCGCTCATTCTGAAATCAGTCGTAATCCATCCATCCATCCACTCGTGCTTTCATCAGTCAAAAGCCTTAAAGCCATAAACCACAATTATATCACAAACACCACATACCTATTGCATATATGATTCATAGGATTGGGTATTTATCATGATTTTGATCGAAGCAGCCAAACTCTTGAGCTATCCATATCAGTGCTAAGTAAATTCCTTCAGATCATCGTCAGCTAACATAGTCCTACGATACCCTCTGACATCTGCTGCGGGACCTTCAAATTTCGGCCGTGCTACATATTTTGTGCTCCCGTGAACAATTTATTAACTTTTACGTTACACCTTGGATTTAATCGTTTGAATCAAGTTCTCTATAATCGCTTTCATGATTACGTACACCCCGGAATATTTAAACAATTTGCAACATTGTGTTATCGCACAAGAGTGGCATTCTCAATCGGTTCAGTCGTCAAGCTAAAAATAGATACAAAAGATGCAGACTGTCTAGATCAGGTTTCCTCAGAAAACACCTAGCAGGCTTGCAAGTGGCCTTACGTAACACAAAACCTCAGAAAATGTCTATTCCAGCCATGTGTTCATCAAACGTACGGTCACTATTAGGCAAAATAAGCGGCTTCACGAAACTGAGAAGGACGAAAAAATACCATGCAGTGGGGATAGTTATGCCGCAAGAAACGTGGTTGTATCATGACATCAACGACCTTTTGGTTGAGCCGGATTTATTTGATATGCGTCGGTTGGATAGAGACTGTTTACTACGAAATCGAGGCAGTGGTCTTGGTCGTCTTGGTGTAAGTCTATAAAGATTATCTTCACCTACAACGTAGAATATATTTCATGTCTTTCGGTTGAATGTAAACCCCGTTTCCTTACTAAATATCGTTCTATTGTGGCATCAAACATTTACATAGCACCTTCCAATACAACTTCTGATGTACAGACGTTTGCTGATGTATTTATATCCGAACTTTCTAACTACACAGAACGCTCTCTTTTTATTGTTACTGGCGATCTTAACTATGCAGATATTCATTTCTTCACACGTCTCTCTTTCCACAATATTGTAAATTTCTCCACAAGAGGAAACGCGCAGCTTGATCTTATGTTTTCGAACGATCCTGACCTGTTTACCGTGCGAAGAGAAACCCTTCTGGCAAACTCCGATCATTGTATCATCGATCTTCTACCAAAAGTTTATTCAAAGAAACATCATAGCACACTGACACGTTCATCTAGCCTGAAGATTTTTCATAGGCTACGTGACCCGTTCCGCTTGGCATCTCTGAGAGAAATGTTCTCTGGCACAAATTTTGATCAGTTCTTTGATCTTAGTGTCTCGCCGGTCTATTAAAATTATTTCTCGCACAAGCGGTATTTTTTATTTGCACCTGCTTAACTTTATCGCCGATAAGCGTTTTACCTCTTGCGATAACTTCTGTAACAATATTCTATCAGACA